ATAATCTTGTTTTCTTGTGCCCAATAATGCATAATTTCATTTGATAAACACGTTTAGATTGAATGGTAATTTATAATCAGTCACAAGAACGTCGAATCTGAATCACTTGAAAAACACGGGGTGCTTAACTTTTTTCCAGGTGTATATTTCAAGAAAACTTTTTAGCTGATTACTTTTACAAAGCTTCATCGTCCTTGTTTCTTATGCCTAGAAAAGGCGATTCTTAACACACACACTACGTCTGGAAACTGATTATACAACTACGTACGCACTACGTCTGAAAACAGTGGTTCTTAAAACACACACTACGTCTGGAAACTGATTATACAACTATGTACGTACTACGTCTGAAAACAGTGGTTCTTAAAACACACACTACGTCTGGAAACTGATTATACAACTACGTACGTACTACGTCTGAAAACAGTGGTTCTTAAAACACACACTACGTCTGGAAACTGATTATACAACTACGTACGTACTACGTCCGAAAACAATGGTTCTTAAAACACAAACACTACGTCTGGAAACTGATTATACAACTACGTACGTACTACGTCCGAAAACAGTGGTTCTTAAAACACACACACACACTACGTCTGGAAACTGATTATACAACTACGTACGTACTACGTCCGAAAACAGTGGTTCTTAAGACACACACTACGTCTGGAAACTGATTATACAACTACGTACGTACTACGTCCGAAAACAGTGGTTCTTAAAACACACACACTACGTCTGGAAACTGATTATACAACTACGTACGTACTACGTCCGAAAACAGTGGTTCTTAAAACACACACTACATCTGGAAACTGATTATACAACTACGTACGTACGTACTACGTCTGAAAACAGTGGTTCTTAAAACACACACTACGTCTGGAAACTGATTCTTAAATGACACCCTATATCCAGAAACAATGATTTAAACGACGCACTACACCTGAAAACAATGATTTAAACGACATGCTACTCTAGCAACAGTTATTATTTGTAGAAATTTGAAACACCATTATCTATAACTAATTACATTCTTATACTACCCTGTACTTCTGCAAATTGCAGTTTTTAAAGCCTTGAACTATTTTATTTCTATAATTATAACATAGGTATAAAAACAGACACATTACTCATACTTAAAAACAGTATTAAAATGTTTTAAATACACAGCGAGTGTACGTCTAGGGTTTTTATACTTAAATGAAACCTGTATTTTATTTTGGACATACCAGGACAGCAGTGATGGTTCTCGTTAACTTGTTCTTCAATGTTCTTTTTTTACTTGCTACATAAGATTAACAAAATACCCTTACTCAACAGGTTTTATGTTCTCCAGTGCAAGAAATTTACATTATTGAATTTTTACACAAAGTCCCAATGAAAAAGTGTTTTATTTGAACTTCAGTCGTTGCCTACAGTCTCAAAAATAAGTTATACTACACAACGTGCATTACACAATGGAAGCAATCTATGCTTTCGAAATGCTTTCCATACGCACACTAAAGTATTGTTTTAGTTAGAACTTTTTAAAACTACTACTACTAACGTGGAAATATATGGATTTTCGGCAGGATTGACAAACCCCGAAATATGGATCGTCCAAAAAATTCGCATACTTCTTAGTCCTAATCTAGAAATCAAACAACTATCACACTTTCTAGACCAGTAATATATTTTTATATTTAACGTTTTCTAAGTGAAAACCAGTCAATGATCACATCTCGTAAATTACGATCGCGAATAATTAACCAAACCTTTCAGGTCCTCTTGACTCGACTAGATGACGTATATCAAGGACTATCTATAGTCAAAACCTGTCAATGATCATATTTCATAGCTCACGAATAACTAACCATACCTCCCAAGTCACTTTAACTTGACTAGATGACAACGCTTGGATCTTGACACCGCGAGGCGGACCTCCGGGTGCTGATGAAGAAATATAAAATATACCTTACAATTAATTTCCAGCTGTGAACATAAAAACATTATAAAATAAGTAATATATATTTTAACCTCATGATGAAAGTCTATATACGTTCTTTCACCATCTACCGAATATTATTGAAATTATAAAATAAAGATTCACCATTTCCCGGAGATTGTTGAAATTATAAAATAAAAATTCACCATTTCCCGGATATTATTGGAATTATAAAATGGAGATTCACCATCTACCGGATATTATTAAAATTATAAAATAAAGATTCACAATCTACCGGACATTATTGAAATTATAAAATAAAGATTCACCATCTACCGGATATTATTGAAATTATAAAATGAAGATTCACAATCTACCGGATATTATTGAAATTATAAAATGAAGATTCACAATCTACCGGATATTACTGAAATTATAAAAAGAAGAAATAAAGTTTCAACACTCCTTATTCAGTTTACAGACTGCACATCAGTGCTTTAATAAATCACTACTTTCTAGTTGTGAATCCACCTCGTAAAATAAAGTAAATTCATGACTTAAACTTATATACTTAACTATACAGAAGCACTGAGTGCATGTTGTATTAACGTGTATTACATCTGCACTATATATTTTTGTATGAGTATTTTCTTTAATCGCTTAAGTAAAAAAAAAGTATAAGTAAAACGTCTCTCACAGTTAACTTTTGAATTCGTTTGAATATGAATTCCATGTAGAGATCTTGTAATCTCCCGAGTCGTTTAAAGCGTTAAACTTCTCGAACTATTTTTTATCGGCAAGATTCTGTTAAAAGTTAAATCAAATCCTTGACATGATGTATGCAGTTTACTTTTTTAATATGAGACAATTAGTGTCAGACCATTCCATACATTTTAAGCGTTCCCTTTATTCTATTTAACATATGTTTTTGTTTTGTTTGTTGTTAAGCACAAGCTACACAATGGGCTATCTGTGCTGAGCCCGCCATGAGACCCAATTTTGAGTGGTGTGAGCCTTCTGACTTACCACCGAGTCATTCTGTATTTTGTCAAAGATGGAGCATGTTGTAACTTTCGTCAAACAACAACAACAACAGGCCTCTTGCTACAACAGAAAGCTCAGAGTATGGCCTTTATTAGAATTTCAGACAGAAATAAAAAACAACTGCTTTTTTACAGGAAGTATCTACACTTAAAAACCTACGAATTGTGATTAAGGCGGGCCAGAGATAAGAATAAATCTTATGAACGTACCTTCTTGTTTGGTGGTGGCGACTACAGCTCCGCTAGGATCGCTGTGACCGAGGTCGTTCACAGCTATTACTCGGAAGGAGAAAGTTGTTACCGGAGGAAGGCTTGTTATCGTGGCTTTAGTCTCGGAGGCTGGAACGGTGATTTCTGATGGTGTGGTGTCTATGTTATTTGTAGAGGGCTCTGTGTGTATGTAAATTTTAACTACTCATCAGTTATAGCGATTGCAAAAATTCAAACAGTTGGTTAACTTGACTTCACTTAAACTGTTTAGAAGTAATGTAGGATATGAAAATTTTGATTACAATTTTTTGAGGTCAATAAACACCATAAAAACGTCACCAATAAATGTTGTTTTAGCACGAAATTACGAAGGTAAAGCCCAATTTCTGTCAAGATATTCACTAAGACGTGTCAGGCTAATAATCTTTTTTAGGCTATCTTTTAAAATAATTTTCAATAATGTAGTTTCAGAAACACTCAAGTCATTTTGAAGGATGAAAGAAAATATTAGTCAATATAAATAAAAAACCTTGTTAAATAACAGAGTATTGTATGAGAAGCCTCTTTTGGGGGTGGGGTGGATGGGGTGAATTGCGTAAAAATGAGAGTGAAATGTTACGTCCATTCCAGTCATCATTAAATCCAATGAACAAAAGATGTTAGTAAAACCGTTCATTATACTAATAACTGTAAAGAGCAAATCCTCACCAACAACAACAACAAACACAGAGTGAAACCTTTATTTCCACTTCTGTTATCAAGCGCAATAAAAATTATAGCAAAATCGTCCATTTCACACTATAAAATATATCAGAGTGGAATCAACCGACCATTCGATTCGTTACTAAACTCAATAAACGAGAATCTGTAGTGGAATCGTCCATTACGCTCGTTATTGAACACAATAAATCAAACATCATAGTGAAACCGTCCATTACACTCATTTTTAAACATGCTACCCAAAAAATTAGAACAAAACCGTCTATTTCATGCATTATTAAACACAATTAACGAAAGTCCCTAGTGGAATTGTTCATTCCTCTCGTTATTGAATACAGTAAGCCAAACATCATAGTGAAACCGTCCATTACACTCATTTTTAAACATGCTAACCAAAAAATTAGAACAAAACCGTCTATTTCATGCATTATTAATCACAATTAACGAAAGTCCCGAGTGGAATTGTTCATTCCTCTCGTTATTGAACACAATAAATCAAACATCATAGTGAAACCGTCCATTACACTCATTTTTAAACATGCTAACCAAAAAACTAGAACAACACCGTCTATTCCATGCGTTATTAAACCAAATATCACATATATTTATTTAATCTGGCGTCTTGAATTAAGTTCATAAAAACATTACAGAATTTTTTGGTATAATGCGTTAGTCTGTAAAGAACAAGAGAGAATTCTCAATAGGCGCGGCTTTTGAAATTATTTTAGGCAGGACTAGAGTAAATTAATATATAAGATCTCCCCCCCCCCTTTTTTTATTAGCTATATTTTTGGGCGCCAGCAATACCAAGCGTGCGTATACCAGATTTGATTTCATTATTCATCAGGAGCTCTACCAGCAATCCTCAAATTGGAATCTTTTAGGCACGATTAGGGTAAATTAAGCTATAAGGGCGTGGTTAAATACATCAATTGAAAGGGCCTCCTGAGTCCAAAACTGTAATTAGATCTCAAATCGGTCAAGAGATGATGGAGCTATGAGCTAAAAAATTGTACTTGAAAAAACTCAGAGCCATTCTATGAGCCGTTATGCCGCGGCTATAAACAAAGTCAACATTACATTATTATAATAGGAAGTAATTATCAATAAGAACTTTGAATGTAAAGATGAGTGGATAATCATATTCCAACCATATTATATTGTTATATCTAGTGACGACGAGGCCTTTCGCTAATACCAGGGCTCATGAGTCCGGCTGGGATACAACAAACGTAGTAGTGGTTGAGACGCTATATATTATCAAATCGTATGAACAAGAATTTTTATGGTGTGAACTAAAGTATAGTATATTGGTTTCAACAGTTTAGTATACAAGTTACAACAGTTTAATATATAGATTACGAATGTGTAGTATATTGGTTTCAACAGTTTAGTATACAAGTTACAGCAGTTTAATATATAGATTACGAAAGTGTAGTATATTGGTTTCAACAGTTTAGTATACAAGTTACAGCAGTTTGATATATAGATTACGAAAGTATAGTATATTGGTTTCAACAGTTTAGTATATAAGTTACAACAGCTTAATATATAGATTACGAAAGTGTAGTATATTGGTTTCAACAGTTTAGTATATAAGTTACAGCAGTTTAATATATAGATTACGAAAGTATAGTATATTGGTTTCAACAGTTTAGTATATAAGTTACAACAGCTT